TATTTGATACTTAATACAATAATTAAAAAGCCTGGAAGCGGCAACAACTGAAGACAAATGTTTTTGCGAAAATAAGGGCAAATCCTAACATTTTTGAGCGAGATTTGGCACTAAAATGCAAAACTAGCTGACAAATGGTTCGGACTATCAAGAAAAAGCATAAAATCAAGTCCTTAAAGGTGTATAAAGCCCCAGATCGCAATGCTGAAGAAAATTTAATGGCAAAAAGTTGTGCAGGAAAATTATGCAATTTATTGTGTAGAAAAAAAAAAGTATAGTTATGGATGATGAAACTTCTGTGAAACTAAATTTCACAGAAGTTTTATCATCCATAATTATACTGAAATTCCACGACATCATTTTTATATGGGAGTCTCCAGGAAAAAGGTAAAGGCTAAATTTAAAACAATAAAACTAAAAAAATTCTTCCAAAAAATTAAAACATGTCAATGTGGATTAAAAACACAAAGTTTCGTCACTAATTCCACAATACATAGTGAAATCTGTCAAAAAGAGTGCCTTAAAAAGCGTTTATTGCCACTGTGGAATGCCCACGATGGTAATGCAATCTTTTGGCTTAAATCTACATTAAACTTCTACATCGCCAATAGTATCAATTTCATACCTCAAACACACAATCTTGCAAATTGTCCTAAACTTTGTCCATTCCAAATTTAATTCTGTTCTTTATTTATTTTTGTTCTAGACTTAATAAGCGTTCAATAAAAAAATATCAACTTTGTAGCTCATTCCAATCTTTTTTAATTCAAGATATAAAGTGTCAGTTTTACTTAACCCAACCTTTATATATATATATATATATATATATATATATATATATATATATATATATATATATATATATATATATATATATATATATATTTAAATATATATATATATTTAAATATATATATATATATTTAAATATATATATATATATATTTAAATATATATATATATATTTAAATATATATATATATATATATATATTTAAATATATATATATATATATATATATATTTAAATATATATATATATATATATTTAAATATATATATATATATTTAAATATATTTAAATGTATATATATATATATATATATTTAAATATATATATATATATATATATATATATATATATATATATATATATATATATATATATATATTTAAATATATATATATATATATATATATATATATATATTTAAATGTATATATATGTATATATTTAAATGTATATATATATATATATATTTAAATATATATATATATATATATATACATTTAAATATGTATATATATATATGTATATATTTAAATATATATTTATTATATATTTAAATATATTATATATATATATATATATATATATATATATATATATATATATATATATATATATATATATATATATATATCAGCCCTCAGAATTAGGGTGGGCATTCAGCATATAATAAAACAAAACTATATCATCAAAATGGTAAATATCTTTCTATCTAAAAATAATTGTTGTATTTTAAAATAAAAAAAAGCCATGTAATTACATTTGGAAGGAACAATCTATTTCTTCTACGAAATTCATGATTTATAATGTTAAATAAAATTCATGAGATAAAAGCTGGCTTCAAACTGAGTTTGAATACATTTTAAAAATTCTGAAATTGCAGGAAACCAGAAAAAAATTGTTTCTGCTTGATGCAAACTTTTAAAAAATTGAATAAGAGTTTCAGCAAAAAAGTTCTGCTTATAAGCAGTCTCAATGTTTTCTAAGTGAAATATTGTAATCTAAGTTGAATCATCTGTTTTACATACTCTTAAAAAAGAGTTTTTAAATGACAGCAACAAAATTTAAATGAACTTATGAACTTGAGAAATATATTGCAGAATTTAATGAATCTATTCCATGCACATTGCTATTTTTTATGACTACTCAAGTTTCTCAATCTACTAGATTTAGGTGTTCACAGAGAATCAAATTTGAAAAGAAAAGTAAAGAATTTAAAGTCAAAGAATATTGAATTAAAGGAAAAGTACAATAAAAAAATTTCTGAAATTTAAGAGATAGTGATTACATTAAAGTTTGAAAAAAAATGTTTAAAGCTGTATTTGATATCAATAGAGAAAAAGATTCAAACATTTATTACAAAAGCATCTTCATATCAATGATGTACTGTGGTTGTTCTTCAAAAGTTGGAAATGAACTGAAATAATTTACACAAAGAGTGTTCAAAACAAAACTAGCAAATCTGCACCATGATTAAGTATTTTTCACTTGTATTTTGAAGCGGTATTTTAATTCTTTTACAAATTTTTTACTGGTTTTATCAAGCTTAACCAGAATTTAGTTTGATGAAATGACATAGGGCTGTGTTATATCAATGTCAGGTGTGTGGAAAAGAAAATGAAGCAAAAGAAGACTAAAATTTAAATTGATTTAAATAAAAACAAATATATAGACAAGCATATAGACAAATCAAACACAGGCTTGGTCGGGAAGCGGGAGCGATCGCTCTTGAATACTGACCACGGAAATTATATTTAGTTGCGTAAAACTGGCCAGGTTTTTTACTCGTTTTGAGAACATTAAAGTTTATGTACGAAACAAAAAAAATTTGTTTTACGGACATACATGGAAACATAAAAAGCTTGAATGTTCTCAAAACATCTTTGTGCGAAAGAATAAAAAGAATATTTGCGAACACTAAAAACCCCGCCAAATTAACGAACAAACTAATTCGATTGGGTCAAAAAATACGCTGATTAAGCGAAAAAAAGTTCTAGAGTATTCTGTTAAAATGTTTCAGAAATTGTGTTATTTACGATTTGTTACGTTTTGAGATTTCTAGCATCGTTTAAAAAATAAATATTATTTGTTTACGAAAATAAATGTTTTAAATATATATTAATTAAATTGTTAAAATTTTAAAAGTTTATTATAAATCATAGATTTTATAAGTATATTCTTAATTTTTATTTTAATAGAGATTGTATTGTTTATGTAAATGTAATTTTGTGTATTGGTTTTTTATCGCAATGTATCTTTTAAAGTAATTTTTATGATTTAAACAAAGACTTACAAAAATAATTGCGTTTTCAATGAAGTTATAATCATTAAAGTTAATAAAACTAATTATGTAACAAACATATAAGAAGTTTCTGGTTACTAAACACAAACAACGCATACAAAGTAACTCGCGGATGAACAAGCACCGCGCCTGAGGTCACGACAGAACACAAATATATATAGCAAATAATTAGATATAAAGAAAAGTTTCCAGATATTGGTTTATTAACTCTAATTATTTTCGCTTAAGTTGCCATTCTTAAAACTCGTTATACTTTTTTCTGCTTTAAATACTAATTAAAATTAAAAAGCCCACTCACTAAACATCATCAGCGATATTGTGAAGCAGTTTCGCTTCTTTGTCTAAAGTATTTTTAACCTTTTTAGTTGATTTCTATCTTGATAATTTAATTCCTATAGTAATTCAATGATTTAATTATTTCATTTGTTTATCTTACTAAGAAGAATTGCTTCAAATATGTTAAACTTTTCAAACTACGCGAAACATAAAATAGGTATTAAAAAAATTAACTTTTTTATTTATAAAATAAGTAAAACTAAAACTTGCAAACTTAGTTAAATAAAGATTATTTGTTTCCCTTTTAAACGATCGTAAGTTGTTACTTTATATAAAAAACATCGCTTAGTTTTATAAAAAAAATTATAAAAGAGCGATGTTTCGAAAATATTTGTTCTAAATGTAATTTATTTAGCTTCAAGTTTTTTCGCGTTTAAAGATATTTTATTTGCCTATTTTTTTTTTTTTTTTTTTTTTTTTTTTTGTTGTAATTGTCTCTCAACCTGGACCGTTGAGAGATTAATCTTTGTCGCTTTTTTTTTTTTGCTTTTTAAAATGTTCTCAAAACGACTAAAAAATCTGGCCAGCTTTTCGCAACTAAATATTATTTACGTGGTCAGCAATCGAGAGCGATCGCTCCCGCTTCCCGACCAAGCCTGAAACAGTGTTACAGATTATAAAAGAAACATTACCAAAAAAAAAACATCTAAAGCTCTTCTCTAAAATATTAGATACCAATATAGGAGCTTATTCAAAAAGTGTATTTTCGTATCAAATTTTAATTGAACCAATCAAGTTTAATGAATGCTGCATCTTAACTGCATCTTGATATGTTTTATTAAATGGAAAATTTCTTAGAAGTCCCACGGCTTATAAATTCCATCAAATTCAATTGTTCCTCATGGCATGCTACCAAACAAAGTTTTAGAAAGTGCTAATAAATTTTGGAGGTCAAATAAAATCATGAGGAGGTCAACTTGTTAACACACCGCTTTAATGTGTTCACAGGTCAAATAAATCTTTAGATCCAATTCTTTCGAGTTTAAGGAAAATACAGAATTCAAAAGTGCATAAAATCCTATTTTAAGTAAGAAAATTATTCTTAAATTGATAAATAATTGTTAATCTATAAATCTTAGATAGAATTAGTTAAAAAGCAAGCAAGAAAAAAAAAAAGAAAACTCTGTTGATGATTTTGATAGTAAATAGAATTTTGGTGGTTTTGAATACATTGATGTGTTAAAAACCAATGTAGATGCTGAAATGCATGATTACAATGATGTTATAACTATAATGTGTGTTTTGTAGATAGGTTAGTGACTAATTGAGACCAAAGTTCCAGACCTTTTCAATAAAAGATGGTACAACAACAGTGAGCAATCAAACAACATTCAACCCAAAAGTTATTTTAACAGATATCAAACAGGGACAAATTGAGATCAGTGTGACCTTTTATTGTAGTTACCAATCCAAAATCGTTTTTAGTAGTTGACTATTCAGCTGAACCAGTAACAATAAAACATGAATTCCTGTATTTATTAGAATCAGATTCCAGAGCATAAATATATATGTTTTATAATTTTTTTTTTTTTTTTGTGTTGTTTAAATTTTAGTTTAATTTTTTTTTTTTAAGGCTCAGGTTCTGGTCTTGTGACTGATTGGGAGCAGCAGTCTGGTATGCTGTTAGCATCTGGTGATGTACGAATCATTCGGATATGGGATGTTCACAGAGAATTGAAGCTGCAAGTACATCTATTTAAATAAATTTTTAAATATATGTGTATTTTTTTCTTTTCTTTTTTTTTTTATCAAATTTAAACCTTTTTTTAAAAAACAACTTATCCTCTGTAGCTAAGTTATTTTCTCTGTTTCCAGGACATTCCTACTGGTGCTGATAGCTGTGTTACAAGTCTTGCATGTGATTCACTTAGGCAATCTCTACTTGTTGCAGGTTTAGGTGATGGTTCGGTGCGAATATATGATCGCAGACAGCCTTCTAATGACTGGTAAGTATGTAATAATTGTTGCATTTAACTTCTTTTTTTTTCAGTAGAGTAGCATAATTTATATGTTCATTCAAAATCTTGTTGTTTTCAAATTCTTACACAAAAATGTGTAACTACTATTGCTTAAAAAGAAGTTTGTGTTCTTTAACTAAAGTACTGCGTTCTTAAGTTATTTATGGAAAAGGGTTCTTAAAACGATTTTTTGGACTTTTTTGCCAATTTTTTTTTCCATAGTTGCACAGTTGTATGGTATGGCTTAGTATATAGTTTAAAAACAATTCCAAATTTTTACTTAACATTTTTGAAAAAGTTATATTAACTGTTCAATGAGTTATATATTAACTGTTATAATAATTAAGAAGTCATTAAATAGTAAATATTTACTGAGTTGATGCAGCAAACACAGTGAATGTGCTTGTTTTTCATAATAAAAATCTTTGAAATAATGTTGGTACAAAATCTACTGAAACTGAGTTTTTAAGCATTCTGTTATTGTGCATACCCAAGTATCCCAAAAACTTTGTTTTACTTTTTGCTGTAATAAAAGAAGCTTTAATAGTTCTTTTCATGATTTTATAATAGATATTTAATGTATTAATGCTCTTACAACTTTACATGTTTACATGGCATAACAATACATAGTTTACATGTTTACTTACATAGCAATGCATAGTTTATGTAATTTCTTACATGGCATAACAATACATAATTTATTCACTTTTATGACTTTAATGTAATACATAAATGGTGAGGCTCTTTAGCCTTACTACTTGTATATTATAAATTACTTTACTAATTATATATTATAAATTACTTTAATGTAATACATAATTAGTGAGGCTCATTAGCCTTACTACTTATATATTATAAATTACTTTAAGGTAACTTACCTAAGAGAAGGAAAAATTTGGTTTTTTTGTAAAATATAGCTTACTATGTATAAATTACCTACTGTGCATTATTCTTATGATATTATAATGTATGCATTGTTGAAATTATTAATGTGCACCCCTATTATTACTATAATATTAGTATAAGTATTTGAAAAATTCAAAAGTTCAAATATAAAATAATTTAAAACTAGATTTTATAATGATATTAATACCTATTTATATAACCATTGTTTATTATAATTTGCTTTGTTAAGTTGCTTGCTCTGCAAAATAATGTTGTTTGCATTTTCACAAGCAACATAAATTAAAATTGTATGTGATTTTTCAGTCGTGTGATGACATTACGTGAACACCAAGGTTGGGTTGTTAAAGTTTTAATACACAAAAGAGGTGATGGAAATATCATCAGTGGAAGGTTTGTAATTTTTTTTTTTGTAGATTGTTAACTTACTATTATTATACAAGATATTATATTATTATATATTAGTTCTAGCATTTATTGAGAGTATGCATTGAAAATGACCATTTTATATTGAGACTCATAATTCGGCAGGTATATATCCAATCGGACTGAAATAAATTTTACCTGAAAGCTAAAAACCTAGACTGCAAATATTAAATCAAATTAAACTGCTGGCTTGTAAAGACGTTTTTATCAAATTTTTTAAACATGGCTAAGTTTGTGCCTACAAAACTATTTTTACAGGGAATTCTTTTACATTCCTTCCACCAAAAAACAACAGTAGTTGAGGCGCATAGAATATTAGTGGAAGCATATGGCAACAATGCTCTTTTAGAACAAACATTTAGAAGATGGTTTAAATAATTCAAGGGTGGTGATTTAGACTTTGAAAGTGATAATGAACTGGAGGTATTTCTTGATGAAGTTCTATGCCAGACATAGGAAGAGTTTGTGGAAACATTGGGAGTGGATCAATTAACAATTTTTAGGCGCTTGAAGCAACTGGGAATGACTCAAAAGCAAGGAAATTGGGTGCCGCATGAGTTGAAACCAAGGGACATAGAATGACACTTTTTTCTTGCGCACAGCAAGTTTTTACTTGCTATAAAAAAGATTTTTTTAAATAAATATTTTTAAAAGCCAATTTTTTACTTGCGCTATAAAAAAGAAAAGGTTTGACAATTAATCCAAGTACCAAGCATTAAAGAATAAAAGACCATAATATGCTGAAAGATAAGACAAGGTTATTTTTTAACATGACAGCTCACAACCCCATGTTACAAAAGTTGTAAAAAACTACATGAAGTACCTCAAATGGGAAGTCTTACTCAAAACCACATATTTACCAAACATTGCTCTCTGAGTAGATCCATACGGATATTTAATACTGAATTCATTGTGCAATGTTTCAAAAAGTCTTGTAGATTTTTTTTTTTTAGTTGGTTAACATTTGACCATTAAATGTCGAGCTTGTTGAGCTTGTTGACATAAGTTTATCAAATGTCGACCTTAGCTCACTCTGCAAAGTTAAGATAAACCTATTTCTTTTAAAATACTGATTCTGTATCTTTTCTTCTCATCATATATGGTTTATACTAACAGTTATGCCATAGCATAAATCTGATTTTTTACTAGCCAGCCTCATTTAAGGACTTAATCCCTAAATGTGTCTGGCTTTAAAATAATGCAAGGAATGATTGAGTTAGTTCGATGTTCAAAAATTAATTCTTCACTCTAAAGGATATTCGTCTGATTCAAGGCACGAAAGCCAGAAATATGCTATGAATTTTTTATAGGTTTGTATAATTAAAAATATAGTGATATGATGACAAAAATAAGACAGAGAGTGCACACAAACAATACTTAAAATAACAAATAAAGTAAAACTTTTTATCAACACTTAAAATGAAGAAAGATATACAACAAATATATCACCAAACAAAAACCTACAAATTAAAATATTGACAGCAAAATAAAATGTATGCATATAACAATGTATAGTATGTAATGTATGTATAGAATGGAAAAAAAATATTAATACAAATGTGTATGTTAGCACAGTGGCTAGAGTCTTGACTTCAGAATCAAAATCGCTGATGTTTGGTGCTCTGGCAATAAAAATGATACAGTGAAGATAATGGAGGAAATTTTTTTATTGAATACTCTTCCACAGAGAAAAATGCGTTTTTTTAGAAACGTTTTTTTGAATTCGTTTTGAGCACCTCAATACGAATGAATTTGGTTTTTTTTTTGGAACATTTAAAAAACCAGAAAATATTAATAAATTCTCCTCAGTCGAATTTAAATTCAACTCTCTTTCATGTTATTAACTCGTATTATTGTTTACATGCTGGCTTTTTTTTCATCAAAATCTCTATCTGATATAATTTTTTTCTGTCTATGTAATCTTTTTTTGAATAAAAAATTTACCGATTTTCAAACGAGTATGAAATTTGAAATGATTATGAAAAATTTGTTTGTTTAATATAAGTTTGTTTTATAATTTTTTTACTCTTTTTTCTTTTAAATGTTTTGAAGTTTTTATTATTTTTACATAATAGTGTAGATGGTGATATAAAGTTTTGGGAACCTCGCATGGCAACTTCGTTAAAAACTCTTCCTGGGACCGTTTCAAACCTTACTACATTGGATGTTCATCAACAAGCAGATATTCTGGCGTGGTATAATTTCATTTAAATTTAAAATGAATGATAGAAATCTACCTAAAAAGAGTTTTATAAACTTTGGTATTTCATACAATTTATATAATTCAAACCATACATGAATAGTTTATACCATCTATAGTATAAATCATATCATCTATGGTATAAATCATGCCATCTATGGTATAAATCATACCGTTTATGGTATAAATTATACCATATACTATATAAGTATATATTTGTATACAATAAATTATGTCTTTATTGTATATAGTTTTTTATTTTCCATTTTTATTTTAGTGGTTCAGCTAACCAAAGCATAAAGATATTAAATTTGGAAGGGGAAATGCTCAGCCACATTCGATATCATGAAGGTTTTATGGGGCAACGGATTGGTCCTCTTAAATGCTTATCTTTTCATCCCTATTGGGTACGAGATTTTATTGATGTTATAATCGTTTTAATCAGTTTTTTTTGTTTGCTTGTTCTATATTTCTAGTCTTGCTTAATTTTACTTTTAGCCTTACTTAGCTGCGGGCAGCACTGATAGTTATTTATCTATATATTCTTCTCAAAAACCTATTCCTGTGAAGTTTGATGACTTGGGTATGTAAAGAAACTTTGGATGAATTCAATGAAGTGTTCAACAAAAATTCTTGAAAAAAACAAATTAACAATGTGTTATAAACGTATAAAATAGTTTTACGCTTTTGTGATGATAAAGCACAATTCTAGTATTCTTGACAATGAAAACAATTTTATTGCGATTTCAGAATTTTGCGGTGTTTAGTACTGTTGATGATTAAACCACCGACTTTTCTCGTTTAAGAAATGAAATAAATTTTATCTTGTGATAAACAAATGAGCAAAATTATCGTGAGATAAATAGATTTTTTATTGCATAACTTTGATAAGTTAATTTTTTAATTTATATTATTAACGACAACGTGAATTCGTTTGGAAAGCAATTATAAATATAACAATTTTCCAAGCGTGTAAAAGTTTGAACGTTTCCACTCACCTAAGTGTAAATAGTAAAACTCCCATAGAAATATTTTGATCGATGTATTAGTGTATTAGTAGATATACATATATATATATATTTATATATATATATATATATATATATATATATATATATATATATATATATATATATATATATATATATATATATATATATGTATATAATCATAATATCTAAAAAAATAGTCTTTAAAATTGACACCATTTTTTTTTTTTTTAATGTACTTAAAGTGGACAATGAAGCGATAATAAATTTTAAAAACTACTGTTTACTCTTTATTTTAAAAATTTTATTCACTTTAGTTTCAGATTCTTTTAAATCGTTTTTCTTGTCTAATTTTTATGTATTTAGTTTATCTTTGAAAATATTTGTCACACATTTTGTAAATAATTTTTTTAAGAACTTTTTTAAACAGTATTCTTGACTTTTTGTATTTCTAATACGACGTCATAATAATGTGGGAGATGTGTTTTGAGTATAGTTTTTGAAGTATACTGCTATTTCCATAAATTCTATTATTTGTCACCGCGAAGTATGCCAATTAACCAGTTTATGTTGAAGAACCCAAATAAAAAGTTGTAAGTTGCGTACATCCCATATGAATCTTGTACAAGCAATAATTTTAAAAAATGCTGCAAGCACAAAATCTTAACAAGTATTAGTAAGACCCTTTAAAAATAAGACATATCACTTCTATTGATTCATTAAAAATCCAAGCAAAACTTTTTCCAACAATACACTGATGCAGCTAGCTAAAGAACTCCAGTAAAAATATTTTTTGAATTATACCATTTATTTATCTTTTCAAATGTTATAGATTATCTTATAACTTTTATAAAAGTTTTTTTTTAAATAAAATATCGATTAAAAGCAAAAACTTGCGACAAACAGACCTTTAAAAAAGTACTACTCTCCATCATTTTACGATTTGTTTATAAATCGTTAAGACTTTGATTTAAAAAAAAAAAAATTGCGAAAAATTTCCCCTTTATTAAATACATAGATGTTAAGGAGTTCGTCAAAATGTATATTGAGGTTAATAAATTAAGTAATCTAACAGGTTCAATGCCAGCTCTGGTTGTATTTGCGAGGTTCAATGCTAGCTCTGGTCGTATTTGCGAGGTTCAATGCTAGCTCTAGTTGTATTTGCGAGGTTCAATGCTAGCTCTGGTCGTATTTGCGAGGTTCAATGCTAGCTCTGGTCGTATTTGCGAGGTTCAATGCTAGCTCTGGTCGTATTTGTGACATAGGTAAGGAAGGAGACATAAATAACTTCCTAGTTAAGTTTTCTTCCGCGGTGTTCTGTGACAAAAATTGTTCTCAAAGCACCTTAATAACCAGATTAAAATATATATATATATTCACACCTACGCACAAACATAAGGCAAAACAACGAGGTATTAAGACAACCAGAATGATCGAATAATGCATCTTAATTGAGAAAAAATGTCTGTGATATTTTTGTTGAAAGTGAACATTATTTAGAACATCTAGCAAATATTTAGAGCATAGAGCCTAGTGTCAAACAAAATGTCAATGGAGTTAGAGTATGACACGTATACCATGCAGAAAATGAACTTACTCTGAAAAACCTGTTGATAAAAAAAGTTGACTTTTCAAGTGATTTAATAAGAAAAAACGCTCTAATGTCTCCCTATACTGCTGAAAACAAATAAATGAATTTGCATAAAAACGGCCATTTTCATAGGCACGAACTTTTTTTAAAAACAATTTAATGCCATAAAATATTGATTAGTTGTTTAAGAAATTCATTGTCAAAATAATAAATAAAAAAGTTCATACCGCAAGCTTGTTTTTTTGTTTGTTTTACTTTTGCTACTATGTAAACAAGCACCTGTGATGTTTTTTTTAGAACCTCTAATAACGATATTACTTAAGTATTAGGATTTTTTATAAAACCTCTCATAACAATTAAATTTTATTTGGGACATAGCGCGTAATCAGGGGTGATACTGAGTGACTTTCTTAAAGCTCGTCTATTTTTCATAGAGATATATAAAAACTTTCACTGGATATATAAAAAAATGTATTTTTCCCAAAACCTGTCTAAAAAAAAAAAAACAAAAAAATTTTTTTTTTTTTTTTATTATTTAGGTGCCCTAAGAAGACCTAACGGTCTTGTCACAGAGCACCGCGGAAGTGCATTTAACCAGGAAGTTCACGCCTCCTTCCTTACCGTGAAGCGAAAATATGTTCAAAGTTCGTTTCGAACCTGGATCTCTGGCTTTTGAAGCAAGCGCTCTAACCACTGCGCCACGGCCGCACTACACGGCCGCTCATTAGGACACCATCATTTTAAAAAACATTTGATTATTAGGTATTAGATTATTAGCTCCTCAAATTTGGTTTAGAGACCTCTAAAATTTGAAAAAAATTCCCTAAATTTGCTGTCTTATCCCCTTATTGGGTACATAGGAGAATTTTTATATGTGTAGTTAGATCGCTTGAAATAGAAGCATTAGATCAGTGGTTCAATGCCTGCTCTTATTTATATTTAGCATATTTGCATATTTGCATTATCTGTAAAGTAAGATTTCTTAACAAAAACGTCAAATTCACTTAGGTGTATGGTTTCATAATTTAATCGACGTCAATTCACTTAGGTGTATGGTTGACACAATTAAGCTCGGAGCGGTCCTAAATATATATATATATATATATATATATATATATATATATATATATATATATATATATATATATATAATGTCTTATTTTAGCTTAACTTTTGCTGCCATACCCGCGAACTGCAAACTCTACAATAAAATGTACTGAATACATAACCACTTAGATACAAGATAATTTCTTTATCTCTATCTGAAAGTTCAACGGAAGATAAATCATTTAAATTTACAAAATAATTGTTGTAAAATGAGTTTGTAAGAAACGCTAAAACATGATTGCATAGTTCATAGCCAAAAATTTTTTTTTTTTTTTAGTCAAAGTGTTAATGAAAATTTCGATTAATATCTTTGTAAAATTAAGGATAAAACTTTTCTGCATCACCATTATCTTTAAAAATAGCTATTGTTGCCTCTAATAGAGATAGGGTTTGTTTTGAAATTTCTTACAGCATTGCATGACTAATTCTTAACTCATTTCTATACAAATTAGGATAGCATTCGTCGTCAATCAGGGTAGTAATGCTTTTATCAAGCAGACTTTTAAATTCTCTAAGAAGAATAGGTGGTGGTTTAGGATTTTGTATTGTTAAATCTAAAAGAATACTTTGATGTTTTGAATTTGTATGACTTAAAAGTCCTCTTTGAGATATGCACTTTTTTAGAGCAAAAAATGTGCTTTCAACAGGTTCACTAGACAACTCCAACACCTAGGCGTCTAAATCTTTATTAAAATTTTCGTCTGCAAAGAGAAAATCAATCTCCGAAGAAAAAAATGTCTCAATATCAAATTCAACATTAGACACTCTTTGTCCGTTTCCATACTTTGTGCACTCTGTTTCTGGCCGTTTGACAGTTTTCAAGTGTTTTTAACAAATATTAGAAAAATCACATAATACGGCTCAAGTTTTATGACTATGGTTTCATATAAAAAGTAAAGCTTATGAAGTCTTTTAAAAGTGACGGCTGCAATTAAAAACAGGAGGCTTGAAAAGTGCGAGGTTCATAAGTGCGATGCAGTTTCAAAACACTGGCGTGGGTGCAAACTGGCATAAGTGCGAATTAGTATAGGCGCGCCAAATGAGTTTACAAGCATTGACATAATTGTGAATGGGCATAAGTGCAAACTAGCATAAGTGTGAAGCAGTTACAAAAGCTGGCATAAATACAAGCGGCGTAAGTGCGATCGTTACTGTTCAAATAATAAACAATAGAAATAAAAACATCCTTATGAGCTGCTTTTATAGAAATCTAATATATAGAAAACGCATTTTAATTTAGAACCGTTTAAAGAACAACAGTCGCTACTTAACTGGTATCATATAAACTTTTGTAATGGCGCAAATCAAATATATAATAAATTTTCTTAAACATTTTACGCTGTATATGATGCAAAGTTTCCAGTTTGTGAAAAAATAATTGGTCCTAAAGCTTTAAAAAGTCCTTAGATCACTAAAGGACTCAAAAAATTTTCCAAAATAAAACAGAAAAATAAAACACTTAAAAGCAAATTCCACTTTAAATGAAATATATATAAAAATTATAAGCATTTATTTAAAATAGTTCGGAAAGCTTTGAAAAAAAAATTATTATTTAAAACTTATAACAAAATTTAAAAATGACTCTAAGCGTACATGGAAAATTATAAAAGAAATAACTGGTAAACTTAAGACATATTCAAACTGTCTGCCAAAAGTGATTATAGTCAAAAATAAAAGCATAACTGAACCGAGCGAAGTTGCAAACAAATTTAATAAGTACTTTACGGAAAATGGTTTTACTCTTTCTGATAAAGTTTCGATTACTGAAATTTCAGTTAATGACTATTTAAAAATTTATATCATAATTATATCAGATGAGTTATCGTTTGATTTATCTCCTGACGAGTTTGAAATGCATTTAAATCTCTTAAGAAAAATAAATCAACTGGGGCAGACGGAATAAATAGTTATATAATATCATAAATTGTTATCAAAGCTTAAAGGATATTCTATTTAAAGTCTTCAAAGCATTTTTAGATCAAGGAGCTTTTCCAGACCAATTGAAAATAGCTAAAGTTATTCTAATTTACAAAA